CCCGGCTATCTAAAGATATAGCATCTGGGATCTTAAAGGCTTGTAGGCAAACAAGTGGCCATCTAACTTGGAAGCAACAAAGCCCACAGAGAAGAAGCACACCAGCCTGTGTGAACACGAGGTGTTGAAGGGATCAGGTAGCAGACACCAAAGAACAAAAACCATCGAGTGATCACCTTCCCCACATAAACGCTGAAGATGAATGTGTGCATAAGTAAGTGTGGTGAAGAAGGCTGATGGTGCCCAGCTATTGAGACCTATAGCGTCTGGGGACTCAAAGGATTGAAAGTAAACCAGTGGCCATCTAGCCCAGAAGCAACAAAGCCCACATGAAAGCACACCAACATGTGTGATCATGAAGGGCCGAAGGGACCAGGCTACAAGCACCAAAGGCGGGGGTGGGGTGGGGGTGGGGAAATCATATCATCATGAATGAGGGTAGCGCGTGATGGGGACCCAATGCCCATCTGTAGACAACTGGACATACCTTGCAGAGGGGTAGTGGGGAGGAGATGAGTCACTCAGGGTTCAGTATAGCAATAATGAAACTCACAACCTTCCTCTAGTTCTTAAACGCCCCCCACCCCCACCCCCGCAACTACCATGATCCCAATTCTACCTCGCAAACCTGGTTAGACCAGAGGATGCACAGCGGTACCGATGGGAACTGAAAACACAGGGAAACCAGGACAGATGAACCCCTCAGGACCAGCAGTGACAGTGGCGATACTGGGAGGGAAGGGGAGGTAGAAAGGGGGAATCGATCACGAGGATCTACATATAACCTCTTCTCTGGGGAATAGGCAACAGAAGGGTGGGTGAAGGGAGATGCCGGGCAGTGTAAGATAAGATATAATAATAATTTATAAATTATTAAGGGTTCATGAGGGAGGGGGTGTGGGGAGGGAGGGGGAGGGAAAAACGGAAAATGAAGAGCTAATTCCAGGAACCCAAGAGGAAAGCGAATTTTGAGAATGATGAGGGCAACAAATGTATGTGATGAATTGTATGAGCCCCAATAAAATGATTTAAAAAAAAATTACTAACCAAAAATTACAGTGCTCTCTTTTTACTCATCACAGCTAATGTAAAGTGGCATGAGCAAGAAAGTGAAGAAGAAAAAAGTAAGAGAGTAGTTACTCAGTCTTTTCCAAGGGTAAAAGTCTATAAAAATTATTACCCATAAAATTCTATAAAAAGGCAACTCGCGTATCATGAATTGCATTTTACTACAGAAGTCAAATCTTATTTATTTCACTTGTAAGAAATTGAGCTTTGCCTTTAGGGCTGGACTTTTGTCGACAGTACTTTGTAACCTTGGGCAGTTTACTCCTGAGTTGAAGTGTTGTGTTATACCTACCTCTGTAGGGTGGTGGTGGCTAGAAGACTTGAAATGATTCTGTATGATTGATGGAAAATAATAATATGATTCTCATGGCGAGCAGTTTTCCAAGTGATTTTGTACTGATTTCAAGCTAAAACCATACCAATCAGCTCCTTACCCTCCTTTCACAGGTTAGCCATTATGGCCCGGACACATACTAGTTAGATCTGGAACCTAGGTTTTGTTCCCGACCTGTGCAGCCAGCGTTGTGTCAGAATCACCTGGGGTTATATACTTTCCCAGGCCTATTCCAGACCTGTTAAATTTGAGTCTGGTTGTTGAGACTCATATATTTTGAAAAAAAGAACCAAAGTTGATTCTAATTCCCAGGTAAGAAATTATCCTAAAGCATCCTACTAAGTAAGCTCAATTTAAGCGCTACTATTCCTGTGTGGATTATAAATGCAATTCAGAGTCATCAGAGTATTTCTTTCAAAGTATATTAAACATTTCACACTGAGTTATTTACTCAGTAGATTCTAGTACCTACTAAGTGAACCATCTTTAGGTTCTTTTACATGGTAGTTTTGTATTGGAAACAATATAACTTTATTAAGTTCTTAAGTTTTTTCACCTGGCCGGTTTTATTTACAGGTTGATTTGGTTGAATTATCTTTATATTGATACTAACAGTATGTTTAGAATCAGTATTAGAGATCATAACGGATCCTTGTTTTATATTTTCTATGCAGTGAAAATAGCAGTTCATCAAAAGCGAGATCTTAGTAGATTTCTTTTTAAGAAATCACTATTCTTATCAAACAAAAATAACAAAACTTGGTAGTTCTTAAGTTAAGCTGAGAAAAGGAGCTGTCCTAGTGACAATAGAACGTTTAGAAGAGATGTAAAAGGGTCCAGGGTCCCTATGGGTCATTCTTGACTCTGGCAGAGAGTTTGGTTGGGGGTTGGCATTGATAGCTTGGCAAGCGTGGGGGGTGGGGGGGATACGATAATGTAATTCTTATCAGTTTGGTCTACAGCACTGATGATTTACACTACCTGGAAACTAAGAAAATTTTAACTTTATTGTGAATTGGCTGATGGGTTTAGAATAGGACACTGGCTTTACATCCAATAATGCGTAAGCATTTTGTTTCAGCTAAGCCATTGCCATCCTCCAAGCTCCATCACTTATATCCCACTTCTTCCCCATGCGTCCTGTCTTCATTCCTCTTTAACCCTCTGAACACCAGAAGAACCAGATGATACCTGGCTACCACTACCAACTCTGAGAACCACCTTCACAAGAGACAGTTCTGGATAGAGTGGGAGAAAAATGTGGAACAGCACATCATAGAAGACCAGGCCCACTAGCCAGAGACTTGTGGAATCCCCAAGCCCTTGGTCAACCTTCAGATCTGGAAGTGAACTCACGCCCATGTTAGAATAGTCAACCTTTTAAAATCAAAAGGGTAGCATGTTTACTCGAGGACCTAAAAGCTTAAAGCACTGATGTATCAGCCCCACCTCAGACCAAGTGAATGAATTTCTAGTGGCTAGTTTACACAGTCTATGTGATGGCAGCCTGGTACCTAATGACTGTTCAAACAACCAGAATCTTTGGATTCCTCTCTCAACTGCAAGTAAGGCTAGGCAGGTCGAAGAGTAGGGAGAGGAGAAGGGCCAATGTTTTGGGTGGAAATCATCCCAGGGTTCTGTGTGCTCAGATGTATGAGGGCAAAATGTAAAAGATCAAACTAAGTTCATAACAATGTCTAACTCGGTGATAAAGTGGAGAATGACAAGATTAAATCCCCATTGTTCCCTATTTTTTCTTTTGTATTCTAAAGTCTGGTAATGGGCCGTCAATGCACAGTGAGATACAGGTTATGTAGAGCATGTCAAGGAAAGTGAGCTAAATTCACGTGCTGCTAACACGTGTTTGCAGAAGAGCAGGTCACGGACGACATGCAGGTTCGTGACTGGACATCAACGCTTCTTCCCTGCACATCTTACGCGCCTCACTTGAGGCAGAAATTCAGCCTTAACACTTGAGTGCCCCATGCTCAGCAAATAGGAATAAAATCCAGTAACCCTAAATTGGCCAATCTCATTTTTCCATTTCAGAAGTATAAAACTTGGTGGCAAGGGAGAGAACCCATTTTTTTTAAAGGTGTACCATCCACAGCCAAATGAACCCAATGTGTTCAGATTTGGTTTTTAGAGTAGTTCTAACAAACTGGGGAGGATTTAGGCTTAATACTGATTTGTGCTTTTGGCACCCATGATTGGCAACCTTTGTCCAGGGAGTTGGTCCGCCCCTGAGAAGCCCATTTCCCCCCGATTTGGAAGCTGTATCAGAGCCCCAGAACTGAGTCTTTGCCTGATGGACTGTGGGGTGATTTTCCAGGAGAATAACTGAATTCATAAGTTATTGTCCACTTAGCTTTCAGAAAATCCACCTGGCTCTGAATGCAAATTCATGAAATCCTGTCTGTCCATGACACAGATCGATTCAAAATAGCTGTCTGAGTGAAAGAAAAGGGGGATTTCTTGTATTGTATTCAATGAAGAACCAACTTAAATGGCCTTAAGAGGAATATTTTTGTGTTACAGAACTGCCACGAACGACTTGCTAGTCCAAATAGGGCAGATGAGGAATTCTGGAACCAGGGAGAATTAGTACTGCTGTTAGTGTTTCTAGGGCTGGAATAGCAATGAGTATGTCTCTGAAATAAAGGGATGCAGTCCAAGGGTCTAGCTACATAGACGAGAAGCCTTTGAATAATTCTTGTGGGCAAAGGAACTTAAATCATACTGGTATTTCTTTCCTATGAACATCTTGAAGCCCATTCATAGAACAAGCCAGTTGGCAATACCAACTTATGGCAACCTGTTGGGTTTCCAAGGCTGAATTCTGTATGGAAACTCTCATATCTTCCTTCGACTGATCGCTCATGGGCTTAAATGGCCCACTGTTTGGTCCACAGCTAAGCAGTTAACCACTGCACCACCAAAGTATATATATTGCAAAATGTTTGTGGGACAATGGAATTCCATGATCTTAATTCCATTTCCCACAAACTTACTATCTGGAATAACAAAACATTCTCACCTTTAAATTACTCCCCTCTATTTTATACAACCAGGTGTGTGTGTGTGCATGTGTGTGTGTGTATGTATGTATACATACCTATAGGTGTAATCTTAGCTTACATGTAAATGTGTTAATTTAAACCATTTTGATATGCACAAACTAGCTCTTTAGTCTTCAGATTTTTCAGAAGATTGACGATTATAAGTATAGAGGCATTTCTTATTAGAAGTTATGGGAAGTTCCATGTCAAGGATTGGTGAAGAATTAACCCCAAACATTGTAATGAAGGAGAACCCTCAGCTAAGTGTATCCTGGTACAGTGTTTGCTTTTCTCTGATTCGGTTTCATCTGAAATTGGGGTTTTCTCTTTGCAGCCGTAGTCCTTACAAGAGCTGTGTGTGGCAGCAGGTGTCAACATAGAGGGCAGGGTGTCGATGGAGGCGTGAAAAGCAGCGGCAGAGACCTGCTCTCAGAAGAACTCCCCAGCGCGTGCGTCCCCAGCACACTTCTTTGCTGACTAGACAGGACTGCCACTGACCACACATTCAACCAACAGAAGCACTGCTACGCGGAGCCAGATGACATTGACATGCTGCTTTATCTTCCACAAAGTAAGCAAACGCAAACAAAAGGCTTCATAGACATATTACCCCCTCACTTCATAAAACCAGAAAAACAACATTTCTTAGACCCCCTTTCGGGAGGAACATGTTTAAAATGCAAGCTTCTCCACACCGATGTGGCAGCCAGTGACAAGAGAAAGGGAAGTGCGGAACCTGCATTCCATCTTCCCGTGGCGCCATTAGAGGTGGGTGTCCGTGAACGTGGTGTGTTCTTTGGTCACTGAACTGAACCCCTTGATGGCATTCATCAAATCTTCTTCATCCACATACTGCAAAATACACCAGTCAGCACCAGTTAGGGTGTTGGGCATCAATAACGAAATCTTTCAATTTAAGGCAAAAAAGTTACCTGTCACCTCGTATTAAGGGTTACTTCTATATGCTCAACACTATCAGGTATGGTTTAAGACACTTAACACTTGCCTTACATTAGCCTTTTTGAAAAGATCAGGTTAAAAGAACACATGAATTGTATGTGATTTAAATATCTTAAGTATTAGATATTAACCTTTCTAAACCTAAAGCTTTCCCGACTTTAAAATGCGGAGATTTTATACACCCCACCCACACACGATGGTCTGCCAATAATTATTCCTACAAAATCATAGAAATATTTATTGAACAAAAATAACAAACTGTGAGGCTGTTGATTCATGACATAGCCTTCAGTTTAAGTCTATACCCTGCTGAAGGCAATGGTCTGCTCTCCAATCCTTCCCCCAAAGGATTTTGCTCTTTTTGATTTATGAAGTGTCAAAATGGCAGTTTCAATATTCGCAAAGGACTCAAATCATGTTCTTTTAAAAAGTTCTTTGAGTTTTGGGAATAAAAAGACATTTGATAGGACAAGGTCAAGGGTAGTGGATGGAGTGAATTTCCCAACACAATTCTCATAATAGCCCTTGCTACCCTGGAAGAATGAGCAGGTATATTATTGTGATGGGAAAAAGTTCCTAGCTCAAAATTTTGGCCTGTTTCTCACCAATGTGTTTCAAATATTTCCTCCTAAGTGAGAAGGGGAGAGGGGAAGGGGAGGGAGAAGCAGGGAGAGAGAGAGAGAGAGAGAGAGAGAGAGAGAGAGAGAGAGAGAGAGAGAAATTAATATAGCCAGGCCCTTCAGAAGCCATTATTCTATTGGGAAGGCACTCTAACAAGAATAAGACAAATGTGTTTATGAGAGAACTCATCTGTAGCTATCCCCTGATTCACAGAGGTATGTATGTATATGGGGTGTGTTGGGTCTCTTGCTTTCTGATGGTCGGACTAGGGTACAGCTGCCTTAGCCAGTTCCCTGCTTCAGCTGGCAAGGCTCACTTCCTGCAAGACACTTCTCCCTGAGGAGAAGCCACATGGACCTACCCCAATGCAGCCCTGGGTGCTGGATCAGCCGTGTGGAGACCCCTGCCAGCGCTGAGATGTTTACACATACATTGATTCAGCTTTCCTCCTGCAGTCCACGTCATTGTATGTGTTTTGTGAGATTGAGGAGGACTTTGTAGATTGGTGTAGGACATATGGACTAATGTTGGACTTAGGGGCTTGGACAGTACTGGGTTGGGATGCTTTCTTAATGTATCCTTACCCTTTATATAAAGCTCTCTCTTATACAAATGAGTTTCTGTGGATGTGTTTCCCTAGTTTACCCAGACTAACATGCTCAGGTGCCAGAGCAGGCTATGATTTTTTGCTAAGCGCTAAGATATGAATCCACATCAGTCACTCACTGCCATCATACTGATGCCAACTCATAGCAGCCCTATAGGACAGGGTAGAACTGACCGTGTGAGTGTCCTGACTAACTCTTTACAGGAGTAAAAAGGGTCAACTTGATCCCAAGGAGTTGCTGGTAGTTTCAGAGTGCTGACCTGGTGGATCCTAGCCTAGCAGTTAATCACTGTACCACTAGAGCTTAGCCTCACATATGAATACCATCATTCCTTGAACAAACAAACAGCATTGTGTATTAGATTTTTTAATGGTGACATGGGACTGGGAGTCAAGACAGTTGCTTTATTACTTGCTTTTAGTCAGTTAGGCTTCACGGAAGTCAAGCTTTCAGTGAATAAAAGTAAGAACTCGGATGGTGTAAGATATATAATAATAATAATAATTTATAAATTATCAAGGGTTCAGGGGGAAGGGAGAGTGAGGGGGAAAAAACGAGGAGCTGATACCAAAGGCTCAAGTAGGAAGCAGGTGCTTTGAGAATGATGATGGCAACGTATGTACGAATGTGCTGGACACAAATGATGTATGTACAGATTGTGAAAAGAGTTGTATGAGTCCCTAATAAAATGATTTTTTTTAAAAAAGTAAGAACTTGGGAGAAGGATAAGCAAGAGAGACAAAGGCAACAGCTGGATGATTGAGCTAAGTTCTCTATCTTTGGTTGTTGTTGAGCCTATACACTGCAAAACATTCTACAATGCAAGTGTTTCTGCATGCATCTGCTGTGACATCGATCACATTCTTCCAGCTGGGAACCCATTCTCATCCTTCTGTGTCAGGGTTGTTCCCCCCTCAGGGACAACCACCCTGCCACCTAAAGTTTCTGTCTAATCTTTGGAGTTGTTGAGCTAAGTTCTTAATTGACGTGCTTGTTTATTAATCCAACTATTCTGATGGAATGGTAGGTCAGCTGACATCTAGTTAGTTGGCACAGTGATTGAGTTTGATGGTTGGCAAAGACTACAAGAGTCTACTCATCTCAGCCAGGTGGGGGCTCTTAACAAATACTAGATAATGATGGGTTATTTTCCAAGAGTCAATTATATGTACCCGTTGGACTGGATTTATGGAAGGTGGAGTTGATAAATGGGAACACTCTTATTTATCATGAGTTTCTAAGAGTTCTTTGCCTGGAGAGAGAGAGAGAGAGAGAGAGAGAGAGAGAGAGAGAGAGAGAATGAATGAACGGGAATATCTCTAACAACCATCCAGGGGGAGAAAGGCGATGCATAATTTTTTACAATAAAAGAAGTGCTCATCTTGTGTGCCTACTTTTAGGATGGTTCCCATGGTTCCACTTGCCCCTTGCCCCAGTCGAATGTACTCTGGCCTGTGTGCTACTTTGTCTATTCATGTATTCCTCTCCTTGGGGAACATGTACCATACGCCTGGAGAACAAGACAAAAGTGTGGTAGCGCCTGCTAGTCAACAGGACGTCACGAACGCCTGGGCTAAGTGCTCAGAGAGTGGCACTGTGTGCTGCAGGGCGGCCTTCAGTGAGGCACAAGTGCTGGGGAGGAGGAAACCCACTCACCAGTCCACTGTCATGGCCCATGATGGTTTCCCACAGCGAGTCATCCACCGGGACTTTCTTGTCTCGGACGTCCAGGAGCTGGCTGACACTGCGGTGGAGAGATCCTTGAGAATAGGGTGGGCTGATGTGGCTTTGACTTGGGATTCGCAGGACAGACACACTTCGAGCGCTCCGAACACTCACAGGAGTCCCGGAGCGAGGGATTTTGGTGTCAGCTAATCCCTGGAAAGAAAGGTGCTGTTGGTAATTAACATGGAGTGAAAATGGGTTTGAAATAGGACCGAAAGCTATTTCACACATTGCCAGTGCAAGGAAGACTCTACCTGTAACTCTCTCACAGAACTTAGCGACTGTGAGCTCTCCTGGCCCACCATGTCACTCGGGGTCTTGGGGAAGGGCATGTCCTTAGTAAGAAGGGAGTTCACGTGCGGCTGCTCTCGCTACATTTCCCCGTGGGGTAAGGCCTGCTGGCATGGCGGTAGGGGTGAAGGTGTCACCAACGTCATCTCTTCATGCTTGTCAGCACAGCCGGGAGAGCACCCCTTTTCAGGGCAGTCAAGGTTAGCAATGCTTTCTCATGTTTTCCCAGTGAGTGAGCACAGTCCTTATTTTACGCTAACATCCTTATGAAGGAAAACAGACTCTGCCTTCGTTGAAGGAACTTGACTCCAAGCTCAATCACGTCAGATACTAACATCCCAAAGAGAAAGCCATTCACAAACAGGCCCACAGAAGTGCTCTAAGCATGTGAGGCCCTGGTTTAACTGGTGCAATCATAGAAACACTTCATTTATGTAGTCAGCAGGTCATGCAAAAGATCATGCATTCATGCAGGACACAGAGGTACCTCAAAGTGCATGGTGTAGCTCTTTAGGGTGACAGTGCTTGACACATCAGATATATCAGCCACAGAATCAAACTGAGGAGAAATTGGAGGCATTAGTCAGTATTGGGAAATGCTTAAAGGAGTGTCTTGTGTCCCTCCAACTACACCATGCTGCTGCATGCCAGTGAGTGGATTCTGAATCACAGCGACCTCTGTACCAGGGGAGGGCTGCTCTGTAGGGTCTGTAGGGGAGCATAGCATCTATTCTATTGTCCTGCCGAGTGCCTGCGGGTTACAATCACTGACTTTTGGGTTAGCAGCCAGGTAGGTGTTTAGATATGTGCCACCGAGACTCCCATAACAACCGTACACATACATAAATATGACCCAGATGATATGAGAGAAGGCCTCAAAAAGTTACGGGGAAAACTTCATTATCTTATAATTCCATTTTCCATGAACTTTTTGAAGCCCCCTCATGAGTGTATATATAAATAAATGTATGTATGTGTATATGTATGGATGTATATGTGTGTGTGTGTGTGCAGACCTCACAAATATACATAATTGAAACTTGCAAGAAAGGATGAGTGGAAGCGCACTGCTTAGAAACTAAAGTGGGATTACTTAGCAGCGGAGGTGAGCTTCGTTGGCATTATTTTAGTATTGCTGAGAATGGGAGGACCTTCAAGCCAGCAATTATGTAACCAGGAACCCTTTATATTTCGTGATCTTGACAAAGGCAAGACTCTCATTCCCTAGCACCTCTGCCCTGTTGTGTGTGTGTGTGTTTCTTTTCAGAGGGAGGCCTCCTATTCTTTTGCCAGTTTGGGTCAATTTCCGACTGTGGAGAGGGCTGGGCTCCTGGGACAGGAGGACAGCAACCCTGAAAGCAGAGATGCCCAGATTGGGGATGGGTGGTAGGGGATCAATGTAGGGAACTCAGCAGTTGCACCCAGCTTCTGCTTCCTGCTTGGATTCTCATCCCCTGATGCTGAGCAGGCGAAGGGCTTACGAGCATCAGCTTTTCATTTTGCTCTACCGACGCACTTTATACTTTTAGGTTGAGCAGGGGTCTTGCGTCATGCTAACAGGTACTAGGCTCAGCTGCTAACCCAAAGGTCAGAAGCTTGAGGCCAGTAGAGGTGCCTCATGATGGACTTCTGAACGAAAAGCAGATCGGCCACTGGGAACCAACAGAGCCCAGATCTACTGACACACAGGGGTTACCTTTTGTTGAGGGCCAACCCCACAGCAGCCTGTCCAGGTTTGGATATGCACAGTAATAAGGCTCCCAGGGGATGCTCATAATAAGAAGGGGCTTAAAAAAGCTTAATAGGAAATTTTCACTATGGTTTTTAAAATAATTCTTAAACGTATAATTTAGGTGAGGCGTTACATTTCAGATGGTCACTCTACTATTCCACAGTTTACCCCACCAATCAACCCTGCTGCCGATGGTATGCCCTTCACATCCTCCTTGTTCCTCTGTGATATTTTAATTCCCTTTTCCCAGTAACTGTGGAAGCCCCCTCATACAACTCACCTCCACCCTCCCTGACTCCTAACTTGAGAGCAGTCATTCTCATCCATTAGAATCCCGGGCCATTGCAAGAGCAACAAGGCTCAAAGCCCACCCGAGATCAAGGAAATCAGAATTCTTCATGTGAAGTCTGACGATGGTGATTTTGAAAGCTTTTCATGATCCTAGGAGCTCTGGTAGCCTAGTGGTTATGTGTTGGGCTGCAAGGTCAGGAGTTCAAAAACACTAGGCCCTCCAAGTAGGAAAAGATGGGGCTTTCTACTCATGTGATAGGTTACGGTCTCAGAAACTCACAGCACAAATTCCATCCGGTTTTATAAGGTCACTTTGAGTAAGGAATTGACTAGATGACACCAAGTTTGGTTTTTGGTTTTCCCAGTAGCCATCACTGAGAACCCTGCTTTGAGCCTCTCTTGGTCCACACATGTGATCAAGCATCATTGTCTTCTGCTCCCTCATGACCATGGCTGTGGGACATCCCCCTGCACCTGCACCACCCCCTACCCCCACCAATCACCTATGAAAACCCCCATTGCAGGGCCACAGGGCCACCCCCGTGAAGACATACCACTTGGGACTCGCCGGGTGGATAGACATTCAGTGGAGACATCCTCTTCTGAAGAGGAACTAAAGGCGGTCTCTCTCTGATATACGGCTCCTTGTGGATCTTCCTTTGCAGAATCAGGGACAGAAAAATGGCCAACAAGATCAAGGCCAGCATTGCCATCAGCACGATGAACCACAGCTCGCTGTAGAACTCCGAGCCTTTGCTTCCTGACCCCCGCTTTTCGCTAGCAGTTGTCAGCACCAGGCCTGAAAACCCCAGGGAATGAAAAGGGAGACATTATTTCAGAAGGCAAGTGCATGATCTAGTGCCCTGTTTACTTTAGAGTAAACGAGAGAGAAGTTTACAGCAGCGAATCGCATGGTGTTTGTACTTATGTTCCAGTGGGGGCAATAGGTCAGGGTGTCCACGGGCTATAAAGAGAAGCTTACAGCCCTCACGAGGCCTCCTGGCTGGGCCACTCAGGTTGGAAATCACCGCAGCCTTTGGGAGTCCCTGGGAACAAACGACAGGGAGGAGGGTGGAATTGTTTAAAGGGGCTACCAGAGTCTCTCTGAGAATGGCCTGCTTCCTGGCTGGCTGTGGGCGGGCAGCAAATGCCTGTCTGGAGCCCTGCTTTTAAGAGGGCAATGCTTTGGGGAGTCAGGCTCCCTCACATCCTGCCAGGGTCAGGTTACCCACAAAGCATGGAAATTAGGGCTGACACGTGCTGACTTAGTTATCTGTAATGAACAATTTCACTTTTTAATTTTTAACCAGATCACAGATTCTGCTTGTAGGTCTGGCAGGCATCTGTCTCTCTCCCAACTGGACAGCACCTTCGTACAGAATCAAAGCCTTTTGACACAGTCACAATCCCGGACAGGGATGGAGGGCCCCATCAGGAAGGTAAGCGCGGGCTGATTGGTGCTTACTGAGGAATTGGTAGTGAACAACAAGTAAATCTGTGCTTCCCTTGCTTATTGGGCACTCTACCCCTGCTCCCTGCCACAGCCCTGTCTCTAAGAATTTGTGTGCCAACCGAAGTCAGACGCATCAGGCCTATTTTCCACTGTGATGTGGGCAGCCTGAGCTTGCTTGATATCTCTAGTCCCCTGCTGAAGAGCAAGGGCTCAACAAACTGTCACTCACAGGTCCTGGGAGAACTTCCTAGAAGAGGAATCCTTCTGCATGGGAGTCACTCGCCCGGGATCCCACTCATGTGCGGAGAGCACAGGCAGTGTGAGTCTGCCTGAGACGCATCACTGGGCTCAACGGAGTGAGCGTTTCTCCCGGGCAGCCTTGTGCTGAAGGGGCCGTGGTGGTGCCGTGGGAAAGGGCAACTCGAGGGCTGACACAAAGGTAGGTGGTTCAAGGCACCAGATGCTCTTTGGGAGAAAGATCCGGTGGTAATCTTCTCCCATCTATTCACTAGTGGTAGCTACTTAGCAGGACCAGGCAACGCCATCGGCCAATACCGAGCATGACCGGGCCAAAGGCTGAGCGGTGGCAGAGTTACCAAGTCGTGGGGCTGTGGGGGAAGGGCGGCAGAGGTCACGGAGGCACCGCAGAGGAGGCAGGGGGTCAGTCAGTTAGGCAGGTTCCCTGAGCAGGAGAACGTCTTAGAGATCACCTCCAGCCCGGCCGCTGTTGGCCAACTCCGGAAAACCGTGGGTTCCTCATGACCGACCGTTGGGGAGGCCAGTATGCAGCCGTGAGCCAGAGCCGAGGGGCAAAGAGAGCACTAGAGAAGCCTCCTCACTCATGGATAAACTCCCCCTTTCTGAGCCCCTCAAGGACAGTGTGGGGTTGTCTGCTCTGCCTGGAAGGGGGGGGGGGGAGCAGGGGGAGTCCAAGGCTGGAAGCAGACTGGCCACATTTCTCCTGAGGAGCAGTCATTTGCTTTAACCCCTGCACAACCAAGGACCATTCTACTCTGTCACCTTATGAGTAGGAATCCACATGACAGCAAATAGCATCCCCAACCCGCTCTGTTCCCCATCTCCAAAATGAGGGCCTGGAGTCGAAGCTCTGATCGAACTTCCCCTAATTCAGATCCAGCATTCGTTGGCTGCAGGAGGAAGGTGAGGCTGGTGAAGAGTGACCATCTCAGAAACCCAGCAGGGCAGTTGGACCCTGTCCTCCAGGGTCACCGGGGTCAGAATCGACAGTGAGTGAGCTCGGGTTCTTCATTGGCTGAGTGGAATCCCACAAACCCTGGTTATATGTCACGGGCGTTGTGGGTGCACTGTGCGTGGCACAGGGCTGTAACACCCGGAAGGGAGCCAGTGTGCCCGGTGGAGCACTCGGGGGACTGGAGGAAGCTTTCTCTCACCCCCACCCCTGCCAGCCAGTGGAGCCTGACTGCCAGCCACCCCAGAGAAGAGTCCACAGCCCAAGGAGACCACGTCTGCGCCACTCTCCTGCTTGGAGGCTGCCTTCAGGCAAGAGAGCAGGACCATGTTAAAAGATGTATGGTGAAAAGGAAAGCTCTGACTGTGGCGATACATCTTGGAATTCGTCTCAGCGCCTCACAATTCCCAGTGTTCCCTCCGCTCTAGCCTGGGTAAAGCCTCCCGACATGGTGGGGCCTCGGCACTGGAGACTGCAATTTGATTTCGTGAACTGACTGGAGATTTCTTCCCTTTGACGGAGACCTTGAAATCAGGATGGTACCGCTTCTTTCTCTCTCTCTCATCTTTTCAAAGCGCCCTTTCTCTTCAAGGGGCTCCTTTGGTGCACCCAGTGGGAGGCTCATGCTCGGGGTTAGAACTTCTGTGGCTGGGCTTCAGTGCCAAAGAAAAACCCAACCCCAGACTCAGTGGCATGGCAAATCCCTTCCTCTTAAGTGCCTACCTCAAGGGCACACATACGTTCCCGGAACTGATACCAAGGTGACCAGGCTAATCAGACTGAAGAAGTGGGGCAATCTCGGTTCCATGGTGCTGTTTTCAGTGTGGTGTATGCCACAGGCATCAGAGTCACTAGGCTGAAAGTGCACGTCCCTGGCCTCTCTTGCTGCGGACCAGGGATATCGTGTATTAAAGGAGACACTGCAGTGGTTCCTCTGCTCAGTGAAACTCAGCTCTTAGCAAAGACAGGCCTGAAGCTTCGTCAGGACCAAAGAGGAAGCCCACGGTAGTAGTAAAGGTCAATTTCCTGAGATCTTGAGGGTTGAAAACTTAAATGTATAATCTGGGTTTACTTAAAAGTATTGTGTCTTGGCGCCAACCACAGCGGCAGAGGCACGGTCAGATCCTCCTGGACTCTTACTGTGTCCTCCTCCTCGCTATACCGACCACCCCAGGATGATAAGAGATTGGTGACCTGTATCGAAGGGGCATTATGACTGAGCGCAACCACATGCCTTGGGACCGGGGCGTGCCTGCTTTCCCTGGCTGTTCCATAAATCCGAAGATGGAGCTGTGCTTCAAAATAAGGTCCGTGACTGGTAAAGCGTCATTCATCTGCGATGAAGCACCAAGATCTAGAGTGGGCATTGAGGCACCACATGAACTCCAAGCATGCCATTTGATATGCAAGCAGAATTTAAAAAAAATTGGTTCCTGACATAGGTGAGAGTCAAAGACTATTACGGGGGCAGGGAGCATGACAACTCTATCTCATCAGCTAATTACTTGGAATTAACAGTCGATCATGACTTTTTATGGAGGACACAAGATAGAACTTTCCCCAATTCTCCATTTTAGACTCTGAATCTGGGAAGTCATCAATACCTTTAATATAAATCACAATGAGTGTGCTTCCCCTTCTTATCATTCATTCCTCTGACTTCCCTCCATGTGGCTTTTCTTTACACCAAGTAAAGTTCTGTGCATTTTTAAGGGGAGAGGTTTAGGCAATATCATTTGTCCTCTGCACGTCTACAATTCAGCCATTGGGCATTTTAGATAAATGTCACCGTTGTGAGGGAGCCCTGGTGACCCAGTTGTTAAAATCCTCAGCAGGGAACCCAACGGTCAGTTGTTTAACTCACCCACTGCTCTGTGGGAAGATGTTGCCCTCTGCTTCTATTACAAGGACTGGCCTTGGCAACCCTTCGGGGCAGCTCTACTCTATTCTATGGGTCACTTTGTATCAGCTTGACAGTAGTGGGTTCAGTTCAGTGCTTTGTCCCAAACTCCAAACTAACTGCCATCAAGGTGACTCCAACTCATAGCAACCCAGTAGGACAGGGTAGGACAGCCCCCGTGGGTTACAGTTACAAGACTAACTTCTCATGGGCATACAGAGCCTCATTTTTCTCCCACAGAGTGGCTAGTAGTTTCAAACCTATGACTTTGCAGTTAGCAGTCCCCCACACAACTACTAAGATACGTTCTGTGTTGTCGTTAGGTGCCATGGGATCAGTTCTGACTCAGAACGACCGTAGGCGCAACCTCATAGGGAACCTACGTGCCACCTCAAAGCAACACTGCCTATGGACAACAGAACAAAACACTACTCAGTCCTTCTCTATCTCTGTACACACGCACATGCACACAATTTAACATCTAGCACAAATCCTTTTACATGGTCTTTGCGGTTAGATTAGTACACATTGGTATAAGCAAACATATTCAGCATTCTGTAGGAACAGGAGTAGGTGTTACACTGAAGACTATGAGTTAAATGTTTACCAAGCCCAGTAGAGGGATCATATTGGATCACAGGTGTCTTCACACTTCCTTCATCTGTAGTGCAAATGACCTGGAAAAAGAAGGCTGGACAAAAGAAAGACCAGTTATTCAGCACTTACAAATAGCGGGCACTTATTCCTTTAAAAATTGCACTTCTACCATATAGCAAGAGGCCTAGAGTTTCTCAATGAACAGAATAGGTCAAAAGGAATCTTTGAGATCCCATGATCTAATATCTTCTCTTGATAGCTAGGGACCATGGAGGAAATCACCCTACCAGGTGACAAACAGGATTGAAGGCTGGGTTGGCAGCAGGGCCCAGATTTCCTACCCGACAGCCCAACCCTTCTATGACAACAAGCTGCCATAGAGTGACCATGAAAACGGAGAGCAGAATGGTTGTAAACATGACAGTATTAGATTTCAAGTAGTACACATAGAATGGAGTCCCTGGTGGTGCAGAGTTGATGCACTGGACTACTAACCAAAAGATTGTTGGTTCAAGTCTGTATAAAGGAACCTCAAGAGAAAGACGTGGAGATCTACTTAAAAAAAAAAAAAAAATCCGTCGTTGAAAACCTCGAGATCAGAAGAAACAGATGGTGACTACCACCACCAAGTGGTACCAAGTGTTCAGAAAGGGTCATTTTAGAATGCCCTGAGTAGTATGGGAGAAAATTGTAGAACAAAACTCAAAACTATAACAAAGATTGAACTTACTGGTCCCATGGAGACTGGTGGAACCCCAGGGCTATGACCCTTAGTCACCCTTCAGGTCTGGAAAGGAACTCACCCTAACTGGAAATGACTCAATGTTCAGCCAAACAATCGATAGGTCTAGCAGGGGAAACAACAATGCTAGTGAGTATGCACAATTTAGAATAACTCACCAGATAAGATCAAAAGGAAAAAGCTTACCTTTGAACAAAGTGGAAAGGGCTCGGAAAGGAGGAGGAACAGAAACAGGAAGCGGAGCAGGAGTAGGAGAGCTGAGGGGGATTGCAATCAACAAAACAGGTAGGCGTTGTTGAAGAGAAAGCAATATGCTCTGTGCACCGCCGACCAATTCGCAACAAAGAGCTGAGAGAGAGAAAACCATCTACTCTGACAAGGGACTTCCATGCGTCAGAGGCCAGCAGACTGACTGGTTCAATTAACCGAGCAAAGCCATGAGCCTTCAGCTTTAGCTAATGAAGAGCTGGGATTTCCAAGGGCAGAGGGACCACCTGGCTCAGGCCATTAACAATTGGAGGTGATCCTTGTCTCATGGGACTCTGGTTAAAGGCTGGGGGGTACATTAAGAAAATCCCTGAAGTCCCTGGGAATGTATTATTTTAGGATTTGAATAGACTATCTTGGAGTGATATTTTCCTTGTGACCACCTACCCTCCTTCTATCTTGGGCTGTGAGGACCCTCCTGTCACCCTGAGGCTGCACTCTCCTTTAGGCCTGCACTAGGCAGCAAACAGGAGTCGTGGCGGTGTTGTGGTTACAGGTTGGGCTGCTAACTGCAACACCAGCAGTTTGAAACCACCCGCCGCAGCTCTGTGGGAGAAACACGGGCTTTCCATTCCTGTAAAGAGTTCCAGTCTTGGAAACCCCCAGGGGCAGGTCCCCTCAGCCCTGTAGCCTCGCTGTGAGTTGCATGGATGGGGCAGCGGTGAGTTTGGTGTTTGGTTTGAGGGGGGAGAAAACTGCCATTGAGAAGATTCGGACTGGGAGCAACCATATAAGATAAAGGATAAATAAGGTTTCCAAGGCTGTCATTTTTAACAACATTTTACGACAGCCCTATCAGTTTCTTGTGCTGCAGCTGATGAATTTGAACTGCCGTCAGTTAGCAGCCAGGAGCATCACCACTGTGCTACTAGGGGGTCTTTGCTGTTCCCCAGAAGGGATGACTCCAAACAAAACATTTTCATGTTGAGCACCTTCTAGCCACCCTTCAGAGCTGTCCTCCCTCTCCTACAGCTGGGAACAGGGGACCTGAGCCAGGGAGGAAGGACAAACAGAAACTCACTTTTATCGGCTGTCCTGGGAATGTAGAGGGTGGTGTCGAAGCCACTGTACACAAGCTGCCCTCCGTCCATCAGCACGTACTCCTTCAGCGGGCTGTTCAGAAGGAAAGTAGCGCTCCAGTTGACAGACACCACAGACAAATTGCTGTCCACGGAAAACGGGGCTTGGTACTGAGGCACTGTTGGGGGAAAGGTGCATGTTCTGAAAAGGGTTACCTCTGTCGGTGTGTGTATTTTAACGAGTGCCCCTGATCTTCTGGGGCGCGCGCGCGCACACACACACACACACACACACACACACACACACACACTCCCCAAAGACAGTACTGGGACCATTGACTTTTTCCTCAGGGTTAAAAACTGGCGTTGGGGTTAAAAAGAACACCAACAGAACACGTGTGAAATGCTGTCTCAGCAACTTTGCACCTGCTTTGCAAAAAGAAAAAAATCAATAGCGAGTGGTGTTTTATGAACTAAAACCATTAATACACAATGGTTTGCTCACCAACATCACCCTGGAGCTCCTATTTTGTTGCATTTCCCCTCTTTTAACAGGTAAAATGTCCTTAACACTATTAACTACAGTGGATAGCTATTTTTCATATCAAATCAATATTTATTGCTACGAAGCCCCAAGGACTAGATGAAGTTAATATAATTTTTTTCTCTAACCCAAACTGCTTAGAAGGTGAATTATGTCCTTTTGGCACCCATTTATTTTTAAAGCTGTTTTTCCCATGGACCGTTAGTTTGTTTTCAAAGATAGTTAAAAAGCCTTGCAAACAGCAATTCCAGTATCATAATTCATTGACCTGACTAATCAATCAGTAGCATAGTACATTAGTAGATAATCAAGCTCAGGTCTCCTAAATATTATATCAGATAGAGAAGCAACTTTGTATGCATTTTGGAAGCATGGTTCTATTTAATTTTTTTTCAACTCCTCGTTAAAACAAAGGGAAAAAAATTCCTAACTCGGTTCATCTTTTAATAATTCTATGAATTATTTTCATAGAATAAATGAAAGGACACTGTATTAGTCTAGGTACTTTGGAGAAACAAATCCACAGCAACTCATGTATAAGAGAGAGTTTTATGCAAAGAAAATGTGCATCACAAAAACATCCCAACCCAATGCTGCCCAAGCCCACAAGTCCAACATTAACCCATACCCTACACCAGTCCACAAAGTCCTCCACCTC